CTTTGTGCTCACCATGTGCATAATGGAGTCTTGTGTCTGTCCTGGGAGATAATTGAATTACTTCTCAATTCAATCTCCAGGATAGAAGACTCTGAAACTGGTTTGGGCCGGAAAGCCATGCTTCATTTAGTCACAAAGGACTTTCCCTTAACTTTTGAACCCCTGGTCTGATTCGTGCCATTTTTTAATATGTTGTTCCCCTGAATGGATTGATTATGAAAATGTATGTTTTATGTTTGTGACATGTATATTTTAGAAGTTATAAATATTGTGTAAAAACTGTATTCCTCTGCCGGTGATAATGAGATTACCCATTGTGTTCAGTAATCATATCACAGGCAGAGGGGAGGAGTTTGTGTGGGAGTGTCTGGGTGTATTGTACGGATTGATTGGTTGTTTTGTAACGCCCTGTGGGCTGTACTATGTTTGTGTATTGGGAATAAAAGAGACTTTATGTGACAGTACAGGGAGTTCCTGCTTAACCCTCAAAGTGAAGTGTGGTCTAATTATTGGGGGAAGGATTTATTGTATGCTGTTCCAGTTTGACTGCTAGGAGAGTAAACCTATTCGTATGGTTCCTATTCAACTGTCTACAGCATTCATATGCTTGGGAGAATTTATTTGTTTCTCCGGTTCAGTGATTGTGGTGTCTGCCAGAGTGCTTGGAGTCCTCAGGAAGCGCTAGGAGCATCCTTCAACGGAGGTACGCAGTCGGGGTGCCAGGCGATCCGTTTCACCTTACAATTGTAACCACATAAATACTGTGCCTGTGATTAAAAACCTCAGTTGACCTCCAAGCTATGTGTCGTCTAGTTCTTGGGGGAAAGGGATTGTAACTACGCTACCTGGATTTTTCCTGCTTTATTCTTTCTGCCAGCGGAGATACCATGGATAATACTACTACTCCGCTACAAGTCCCATGTACAGAACCTGTCAGAAAGAGGAAGTCCCATGTACAGAACCTGTCAGAAAGAGGAAGTCCCATGTACAGAACCAGTCAGAAAGAGGAAGTCCCATGTACAGAACCTTTCAGGAAGAGGATGTCCCATGTACAGAACCAGTCAGGAAGAGGAAGTCCCACGTACAGAACCAGTCAGGAAGAGGAAGTCCCATGTACAGAACTGGTCAGGAAGAGGAAGTCCCATGTACAGAACCGGTCAGGAAGAGGAAGTCTCATGTACAGAACCGGTCAGGAAGAGGAAGTCTCATGTACAGAACCTGTCAGGAAGAGGAAATCCCATGTACAGAACCTATCAGGAAGAGGAAGTCTCATTTATAGAGCCTTATTGTCAAGCAGAGGAAATGACACAGTACACAGACCTATAAAACACTCACCACTTATCCAGCACTAAGAGTCTCTTCTGTTTTACTCCCTTTACCGATACGACATCCCAATAAACATTAGACACCTTCAACCACTTTTCAGTATCTTCACACTGGAAGAGGCTGCCTGCCATTGCTGTCTTTGTGAAGTTTTCAAATGAACACTGCATTGGGAAGAATGAAAAACAAAAACTCAGTATTACATAAATGCCCCTGGTCTGTACCGATACCCCTGTACCCGGCCCCTGATTAGTAACAATACCCTGTACCCAGCCCCTGCTTAGTAACAATACCCTGGCCGGTAACAATACCCTGTACCCAGCCCCTGGCCAGTAATAATACTCTGTACCCAGTCCCTGTACTCTGTATTATACTCAGTACCCAGTATTATACTCAGTACCCAGCCCCTGTACTCTGTATTATAGTCAGTACCCAGTCCCTGGTCAGTAATAATACTCAGTACCCAGTATTATACTCAGTACCCAGCCCCTGTACTCTGTATTATACTCACTACCCAGCCCATGTACTCTGTATTATACTCAGTACCCTGTATTATACTCAGTACCCAGTCCCTGGCCAGTAATAATACTCAGTACCCTGTATTATACTCAGTACTCATCCCCTGTACCCTGTATTATACTCAGTACTCATCCCCTGTACCCTGTATTATACTCAGTACCCAGCCCCTGTACCCTGTATTATACTCAGTACTAAGCCCCTGTACCCTGTATTATACTCAGTACTCAGCCCCTTTATCCTGTATTATACTCAGTACCCAGTCCCTGGCCAGTAATAACACTCAGTACCCTGTATTATACTCAGTACCCAGCCCCTGTACCCTGTATTATACTCAGTACTCAGCCCCTGTACCCTGTATTATACTCAGTACCCAGCCCCTGTACTCTGTATTATACTCAGCCCCTTTACCCTGTATTATACTCAGTACCCAGTCCCTGTCCAGTAATAATACTCAGTACCCTGTATTATACTCAGTACCCAGCCCCTGTACTCTGTATTATACTCAGTACCCAGCTCCTGTACCCTGTATTATACTCAGTACCCAGCCCCTGTACTCTGTATTATACTCAGTACTCAGCCCCTGTTCTCTGTATTATACTCAGTACTCAGCCCCTGTACTCTGTATTATACTCAGTACCCTGTATTACACTCAGTACTCTCTGTATTACACACAGTACTCTCTGTATTACACTCAGTACCCTGTATTACACTCAGTACTCTCTGTATTACACTCAGTACCCTGTATTACACTCAGTACTCTCTGTATTACACTCAGTACCCTGTATTACACTCAGTACTCTCTGTATTACACTCAGTACTCCCTGTATTACACTCAGTACTCCCTGTATTACACACAGTACTCTCTGTATTACACACAGTACTCTCTGTATTACACTCAGTACTCCCTGTATTACACTCAGTACTCCCTGTATTACACTCAGTATTCCCTGTATTACACTCTGTACTCCCTGTATTACACACAGTACTCTCTGTATTACACACAGTACTCTCTGTATTACACTCTGTACTCTCTGTATTACACTCTGTACTCTCTGTATTACACTCAGTACTCTGTATTACACTCAGTACTCCCTGTATTACACTCTGTACTCTCTGTATTACACTCAGTACTCTCTGTATTACACTCAGTACTCTGTATTACACTCAGTACTCTCTGTATTACACTCAGTACTCCCTGTATTACACTCTGTACTCTCTGTATTACACTCTGTACTCTCTGTATTACACTCAGTACTCCCTGTATTACACTCTGTACTCTCTGTATTACACTCAGTACTCTCTGTATTACACTCTGTACTCCCTGTATTACACTCTGTACTCTCTGTATTACACTCAGTACTCCCTGTATTACACTCAGTACCCTGTATTACACTCAGTACTCCCTGTATTACACTCAGTACCCTGTATTACACTCAGTACTCTCTGTATTACACTCAGTACTCTCTGTATTACACTCTGTACTCCCTGTATTACACTCTGTACTCCCTGTATTACACTCCGTACTCCCTGTATTACACTCCGTACTCTCTGTATTACACTCTGTACTCTCTGTATTACACTCTGTACTCCCTGTATTACACTCAGTACCCTGTATTAGACTCAGTACTCTCTGTATTACACTCTGTACTCTCTGTATTACACTCAGTACTCCCTGTATTACACTCAGTACCCTGTATTACACTCAGTACTCTCTGTATTACACTCAGTACTCCCTGTATTACACTCAGTACTCTCTGTATTACACTCAGTACTCTCTGTATTACACTCAGTACTCTCTGTATTACACTCAGTACTCTCTGTATTACACTCTGTACTCTCTGTATTACACTCTGTACTCTCTGTATTACACTCAGTA